TTTTTTTTTTTTTTGCCCCACTTTATTTTTCGCTGACCGGTTTCGTCGAGGGTGGGGAGGCGTTTCCGAGCTCGCAGGGCTGGCTTTCCCCAAAACGTGCCATTGCAGCCAAATTCCTCGTGAAGCAGGAGGGATATATATATATTTATTTTTTTCCCCTTGGGGGTGAGGGACAAAAAGCAGCTTTTTCTTTTTTTTTTCCCCCATCTGCCAAAATCCGCTCGTGTCCTGGAGGGGCAACGCGTAAGGGATGCCGGGCTGGATACAGCAGCCGTGAGCACCTGAGGCTTTGGACCTCTCGCTAATAAATCAGCCTTGCTAAAAATGAGAACGTAGGAATGGCAGATAAGAGCGTAAATATTATCATTTGCTCTCTCTCCTTTTCCTTGATGGTTGTCGGTGGTTGGAAAAGAAGTACTTTTTTTGCATACCATCTGCTCCACACAGTTAGGTTCGTACTGTACAAGAGTCAACACATGGCAGCAAAATTAGAGAATGTTCTGCGCTTCCAGGCGTCCGGACGGGGCAGATTTGGGTTCGTTCTGCTGGGGCTGGTGTTGTGTTTCATTAGCTGTTAACTGCCGTGCAATTCCTACACACCACTGCAGTTATGGGCATTTTGCTCCGCGAGACCGGGTTGATTTAGAAGTTGTAATATTATCTCACTGACCACGGTGATTCTGTCCATTCATTTTTATTTGCTTTCTAGATGTGTTGTACCTCTCGGAGCTCGAATTTGTGGGAGAAATGAGAATTAAGCGTGCACGTTAATGAATAGAAGTGTCGTAACGTTACTGTTGTCTTTATGCGAGTACTTAGGTTTGCTCTGATCATTCAGATCTGAAGAACTGGCTAGTGAGGGAAAACAGCGGAACTGTTTAACGAGTTTGCGCTGAAATGACTATAAGAATTTATGGTCTGCTGCAATCTAGAGACAGCTCCCTGACTCTGTTGAAAACTAGCCTTACGGTTTGTCTTCTAAAATATTTTCTTTGTCTTATTTTTGACTCTTGTGCATCTAAATAGTAGTGTGAAAACCTTGCTTAAACCCCCAATTTATGAATGACTCTTTCTTTTTTTTTTTCCTGTAGCGCTTGGTGAATTTTTAAAGAATCTGTCAGTTATTTTCTCTTTGTTAAGGATCTGTTTAGGATTGTGTGTTTCTTTAAAGACTCATGCATGTTCTGTTGTTGATAAAATCTTTGTGATAGGCCTACATATTTTCTTTCTTACCTGCAAAAAAAAATTCCTCCACGCAGTTGTAGCATAGTATTTCTCTTTGCAGCTTACACAATAATACAAACCGAATGTAGTATTTCTTGACAACTTACAATCTGTAGCATCAGGATTCAAAGAGCAGCACGTTTTTATTTGATAGCATTTTTTTTTTGTTGGTATCAGTGTTCTTGCAGATCTCTCTTCAGACTGCCTAGCCGTTAAGTCATAATTACCTTTTTAGGTTATTATCCTTTTTATAGTATTGTATGGAAATGCTCGTCTTGGGAGCCAGCCATTTTGTGTGTGCTGTGTTGAAATGCATTTTACGACATAGATGTTGGTTTGTATTCAGCCTAGATGGAAGTTAAGACGTTGTAGCGTCGCATATGTCAGGCTCTCGTGAGCCCCTAGACAAACGATTTCATCATACGGCGCTGGTTAGCTGCCCCAGCAGGTTCAGAATGAGAAGCCAAAATGTGTGAAATCTTTAGTTTACATATGGGCTTGTTCTGTTTTTAAGTGTGCAACTGGAATATTGGAAGTCAGATGTGCGAAAGTGGCTTTTGAACAGCAAGAGTGGAGCATATTAAGGTAAGTTGGACCTTGTTTCGTTACTGTGTATAAATATGATTTCTGCTCCATAAGCTTACCAGAATAGGCCAAATCTAATAGAAGATTTAAACAGCTTTTATTCCATTTATATACTATTTTTAAATATATTAAGAACGATATGGCACAATTCTTGTTGTTTCACGTTACCAAGATGGTGGCAGACCTTTTTGGGTTGATAGCTCTATAATCAGATAGTTGTGCGCAATTGGAAAACTTAACACTTGTCACCAGCCTATACCTGGCTTGGGTGCACAATTCAAGTTTTCTTTCTCTGCAAATATTATGGGTAATGTGGGGATGCAGTTTTTTGTGAGTTGAATGTTGGTGCAAATACACAAGTTGCCAAGCGAAGCTGCTGCTGTAGCACTGTGTTAAGTCTTTTATACGTGAGCAGAGTGGGTTACTTCTTTTCCCCAAACCCTGTATGTTACAGACGTACTTGTTCTAGTAATCCAACTTGTTTGCTTTTTTGAACTAATGCAGCTCCAAATGTTTCTGATTTGTGTTTGAAGTGTCTGTTTTCCCTTGAGTTTTATTTAATCGGCCATGTGAGTATGCGTGTGCGCGCGCGTGTGTGTGTACATGCATTGCTTCTGCAGGCTCTGGTCCCAGTGGGGTTTAATCCATTTGACTGTGTAGTTCCAGTTGGTGAACTGGGGCAAAATCTTGTATGCTCTAGTCTGAAATCTAGGCTAATGTTGGAAGCAAGGCAGAGACGCTGATTTGGGCTGAGAGTCTGGCGCTCTTCAAGCGGTGGAAGGGAGACTGCTTTGCTACTGGGCGTCTCGCTCCGACTCCCCTGGCTTGCCCGTGCTGCATGCTTAGGCTCTGCTTCGAGAGCAGGGAAGAGTATAAATACTCGGATTTACTCGACGTTGCAGTCTCATTTGCCGGACGCGCGTGTCAGTGCCTGGAGGATTGGGTCCTTCTCGTTGAAGATGGTGACCGAAAACCGTTCTCATCTATTTGAAAACTAGGGGATTCTCTGCCCTCCCCAGCAGTGGCATTCAGTCTGCAGCGCCTGCGGTTTTGGAAATGCTGCTGCTGTATGTTTCTGTGCTTTCTTCTGTATCGGGCTGGGGTGGAGGGGGGGAAAGGTGGCCTTCTGTTCTCCTGAGGCATCGCTAAGGTGTGGTAGTCTTTACATGTAGATGAACTTAGGCTTGCTGCACTTGGGAAGAGTAGAAATGAATCTCTTACAAAATAGTCCTTCTCAAAGCGTTTAGGATGCTTCCAGTCTCCTGAAGTTATTGCAGAGGCCTGTCTAGAGCTAAGTTCTGTTCTCGCTTCTCTATTAATGGCATTGGCAGATGTCCTTTACCACTACTTCCCCCTCAGAGCTTTCAGATAACACTTTCAAAGGACTGTACAAACTTATCCCTCGTTTGAGCACTACCGTGTTTCTTTTGGTACCAGTTCGTTCTTTCCCTTTTACATAAGGGCCTAAGCAAACAAGAGGGCCTGCTTGCTTTGAGGGTTTTCACTCCTGTATGTATATGGATATATACATACGCATAAACGTGTGGGCATACTCCATCGCTCCCACAAAATGTTCAGTGTCTGCTGGGTCTGACCATTGCATTGTAATGCAGAGGGGGGTTGGTAGCATGGTGTTACTGAGAGCCCAGGATTCCTCCTGGACAAGTAATCTGCGTAGTTAAACTACCCAGAGCAACTTCCTTGCTGTTGGTCTTACCCTCTTTGCAAGAGTTGAGCTGTTCAGCTTGCTTTAACTCTCTTGCCTGTGCCCTGTGGAGCATTGCGAGCGCCCTGAACCAGGGGAGGGCCGAGATGCGCTAGTGGTGCTTGGTCCTCCAGGAAGGGTCAGCTGGGCCAGTGCTGTCTTCTCCACTTATCTGGCTTGGTGCTGTCAGGGCCAGGCTTCCACATTGATGCAGCTGTCTGAAGTTGTCTCGTTAACCCTGTCTGTACATCTGCTGCTGCTTATAAAGGTGATTTCTTACCTGAATGGTGAAGGATCAAGAACAAAAATAAATGTGAGATCTGCACGTTACCCTTGGCTCCGTCCACGTTGCACTGCGCGCGGGTACCTCGGACGTGCTGCCCAGCCGGTGACGTGGGGCTTGTTGCTGAGGCCTTGTGCTTCCCTTTGTGGAAGATCAGTGGCTTCCCCCGAAGCGGCGCGAGGGCCAGCGTCTGTTTTGTGCTCTTATTCTCCGTCACGGGTGCTCGCGTGCCCTGCCTCGGAGGCAGGAGCCCAGGCAGGCAGCCCTG